ATAATGTCTCCGTATTGACAGTACGGATAAAGGAGTTTGTTTTGTATGTATGATTCACTAGTAGTCTTAGGGACTATACCAGCTAAGCATTAGTGGGTGAGCTTATAGGGTTCAATCTGAGAGAGCTTGTCAACACTGGCAACGTAAATGCCGCCATCCAACTCGAGACATGAGTTCTAAGGTCGCAAAATCGAAACGCATTAAGTATGTACTGTTTCACGGTAAAAATAGATAGACTTAATACTTGCTGTAAATCTTGGTGTGGGTATACGACAATGAGAAGATCTTCCACCGAGCGGATGTAATTGCTCGGTAGGCCAAAGTCCGATTTTTTTTTCACGATTGAAGCTTTACTGGTTGCCCGGAGGCCTTTCCAGTTTCACCCGTGCAGGTGGGCGAGCAAACGCTCAGCCAGGAGGGGCGGGATTAGCTAACAGCTGCCCGAGCGCCTCCGAAAGTCCGAATGTTGTTCTTCAGAACTTGTATATATGCATGCTTATCTTGAAAATGTCGTAAGCGAGACTAAAACATCTGTCTAATATCTTGCTACCCGCCACATGTTTATTTGACAAATCATAAAGGCCGTTAAACATACCGTATTTTATAAATATCAAATCATTTCATTTTGCTTTCCAATTTAGGCGAAATTAAAGTTAAAGTTATTAGGGAAACATTGTGATGACTTCGCAATGTCTTCGTTTACGAGCTGAATATTTTAGTATATTTGGGTAAGGGTTCAATGTATTCCGGCGTAGATTAGAAAAGGGCCAGTGATGGTTGCGGCGTCAAAGAGAAACACTTTTCGTTTATTGACCGAGATTCTCACCAAAAGACGGCAAGGGCGATAAATTTTATTTTACAAGTCGGAACATTAAATTTTTAGTACATGTCATTGACAGAAGGACGTAGGGCGCGAAAATCTTGAAACAAAACAGTACAAACATCGACCTCATGTCTCAAGGCTTGATGTGTATGGAGTTTGAGAACTACATAATAGGTAAGGGGAGGAAACCTTTGATGAATTCAATTTTTATACTGAAACTTGTAATTAGTGATCTCTCTTTATAATTGTTCGTTATATATAATTGAGTCAGTTCCAAGTACGTGGCAACACTTCGTTCATTCGCAGTAGGTAGGAAATTTTCGAATTGAAGACGAACAACGTATATCCGGTCCGCTATATATTTCATTCATCAAGAAAAGAGACTAATTATTGTCTACCATGCTGTCACTTATTTTGATAATAAACAAAACGGAATATCGGATTTGGTCAGCCTCAAAGTGAAGTAAGACGTGACTTTGCTACTGACATTACTGCTAAAAGCAATCGTTTGTGCATTCGTTCATCAGTGTGCTTAGTCCGAATTTTTTAACGATCTCGATAGCGTAAAATTTAACTCAAATTTGTATGCAGTTGAAACAGCGCCCCTAGCGGCAAACCTAGGCAAACGTTCCAACACCATACAAATTTGAGTTAACTTTTACGCTCTCGAGAACATTAAAAAACTCGCACTAAGCATACAGATCGTAAACGGTTGCCGGTGTTCGTGGATAAAAATAGTGCCACTAGCCACCATGTTACCAAGGACTTTGCTTGAACACTCATAAAGGACATTGCAGTGCTCTAGATACTATGGTCACTCGTTCCGGACGGTACGTGGTATAATGACTATGTCATGAAATGCAATAAGTATCAACGAAGCGTTTTCCAGTAGTAGGAATCAAACTGGGCCTTTTTAGTACGATAAAATGTCATAAATAAATCAAGGAAAAACAATTCATCTTAGCATTCTTACCCGGAGGGGCAGAAACGAGTTACATAAGAAAACTGTGCAATAATTACAAACAATAGAATGGTTTATCATCATTTATCATAGCTGTTATCCGCACAATGTCCCGTGCTGCACGTAAAATTTGTTTTGATTAAAATGTATCAAGAAGCCAGAGTAATGAAAAAGTGAAAATAACAGTTGCTGTGATATGTTGAGCTTGGTGGGTTACCAGACATTGTTTTCATTTACTACTTCTGAATTATGGAGGGATTTACCCACTGAGTTTCTCGCCAGATCTTCTCAGTGCATTGCGATTCCGATCCGGCAGTAGATTCAGCGAAGCAATGCTCTTGCTAGGGCTAATGTTAGCAATTCTCTCAGGTTGAGCCCGTGAGCTCACCTACCGGTCCGCGTGTAGTTGGCATAGCCCCTTAGGCTACCAACGATTAGGTAGGTAAAAAATATGGAAGGACCTGTTCGGACCCTGAGTAGGATAGGTTCCCAATCGCTACAGTATTGCGTGGCTTGAATAGATTGACAGAACATACCTATTATTTTAAGCACCTGAAGGGAAAGTACTGAAGTTTCACTCTAAAGTACTCGAAATATATTTATTTTTTTATTGCTTAGATGGGTGGACGAGCTCACAGCCAACCTGGTGTTAAGTGGTTACTGGAGCCCATAGACATCTACGATGTAAATGCGCCACCCACCTTGAGATATAAGTTCTAAGGTCTCAAGTATAGTTACAACGGCTGCCCCACCCTTCAAACCGAAACGCATTTGCAACGCATGCGGACTTACAAGAGGTCCTACCACCAGTAAATAGGTTAGTAATTAGGCCGTAGAAGTAAACGACGCAGAAGCTCTGACAGCACTAAGGCATTGATAATTTCATTCCATTACGCTCCTGTGGTACGGGACATATAATGCGAATATCCTCTATTCTCGGCATGTTTCGGCTTTGCAATCCCCTGTGCACTTGTTTTATTGCTACCATTTCCGATGCGAGACGTTGATTCGTTCCCCTTCTATAAAAAAAATTGGGGTTTCCGCACTAGAATGTAGAAATGGTGCCCGTAAAGGTTAACACTTCATGTCCTGGAGTGCTTTCGATGGGCCGGTAACTTGAGTTTAGCGAAGAAGTTCCTCGGTGCCCAAATCAAGGGGTTAAATATTTGAGAACAAATTGCAATCTGCAACAGAACATGTGTATGTAGAAATGCTTCCCGTAAAGGTTACGCATCATGTCCTGAAGTGCTTTCGAGGGGCCGGTAACTTGAGTTTAGCGAAGAAGTTCTTCTTCGGTGCCCGAGCCAAGGGGTTAAATATTTGAGAACAAATTGCGACAATATATTTTATGGCACATCCATTCTTAGTTTCCCCAGCAGTTGGAGTAGGTACTCTTAGGGTAATGTCATGAGCAAAAACCGATGAAGTCAACGATTGCGTAGACAGCGTTATACTATTTGTCGAGTCTACGTTGTCTAACGTAAAAAGTAATATTTGTATGTTTTTTTTCGGGCTCGCGCATCTTGTATCCTATTGAGTTGTTGCCGTACAGATGTATAGTATTTGTAAACAAAAAGAACAACAAAACAAAAATAATAATTAAAGCTACCGTTACGGAATATTCTTGATTTAATCTAAAATGGTCGATGTTCACTTTGTGGTACACTATGCGCCGTATATACCGCAAAAAAAAACATTTTTAAAACAACAAAGTTTTTATATTTTAAACTGACACAGCTTCGCCCTTAGGGTTGTATTGATTCGTGAACCATACGTAAATTGTAGGTTTAAAACAAAAAAAAACTACTAATTGAAATCCAAAAAATAATCTTGTTACCATAGCGAGGATATTAGGCTAACGTAATAAAATTATGTGTGTTTGAAATTATGATGTGTGAAAATTTCAAGTTAATCGGACGTTTGAAGTCGGTGGAATTGGCATCAAAAGTATCGACTGCATAGATATTAGATATATAAATAAAGACGGGTCAAGAAAATTAAAGGGTGATGATAAATAAAGGATGAGGTATATTATACCTATGTGAAAAAGGTTAAAATATATTTCAATGTATCTGTTTGTACATGCGCTATGATAAGTCCTTCTTCAAACGAGGCTTGTGGAGAGTAACGGTAGGCAGCGGCTTAGCTCTGCCCTTAGCATTGCTGAAGTCCATGGGCGACGGTTACCACTCACCATCAGGTCGGCCGTATGCTCGTCTGCTTACAAGGGCAATAAAAAAAATGCAATTGTCGTATCCCGGTTTTTGATAAAGTACAATACTAAAGAGTAATAGGTAAATTAGCACCCAAGTCGTTTCAACAAATGTAGTACCTATTTCTAGACATAATCACATTGGAATATGATTGGAATTTACTAGTAAGCATTTAATATTGAATAAGTAAAAACCCCAATATTTGTATTTGCGTGATTTGAGTTAAATTTGAAATATTAGAAAGCAAAAAATAAGAAATGTTTCCTTTTATGGTTTATATCCTTATTTAGAGGTCAGGTTTACAGAAAACATATTTTGTTCACATTAGAAAAATAGACTGGAGAAAACAACGTTAACAGAAAACGCTTTTCTTCTAGAATATTCTTTTAGGAAAAGTCCGGATGATAATATTAAGAAGAATGCAAAGTGTCAATTTTTTATTTACATTTTCTATATACAATAATTTATATACAACCCGAACAGTATCTTTCTTTTTTCTTGAACACGATCTGGTTGGTTCTTTTTTATATTTGCCCCAAGTTTAATGTAATTTAAAAAAATCTGTCACAAACACAACAAAAGATCCCAAAAAATCCTTGGTGAAAGAATATTATGATCATATATGCTTTGAACATCAGTATCTAAGAACCGATGTGTCTTACTTAATAAATTGTTTTTGCACACATCTATTACTTTTAAGTAGCTTAATATTAAAGATTTACTAACACGGTTATTTTCCTAGTATTTTTGTCGGAGTATGCCGTAACACTATAATTTTAGCTGTTCATTACCGCATTTGCAATAAATTCAGATCCGCTTTTGTTGTACGGAATTCAATGTATATTACGCATTGTTACTAAACCAAATTACAATAATGACAAATTTAAAAAAAAAAATCTTCCTTCTTAACAAAATTGGATTCAAGTCGTGTCTGCTGAATGTTAATTTGTTATTCAAAACGCTAATAATCTAGCATAACGTTTTGTTCCCAGTTCTTACGTACCTACGCACTGATCCGTGCATTGAAGTGTTTTTCACTGTGTTTTCGTTTTGTTTCCGCTCAACTCTGGTCACTCAGTACCGGTCACTCATGAAAAGGGGGTCATTTTCTTGTTTCCGTGGTGGGTCGGTTTTTTTTGGAGGGGTGAGCGATTGGTCGCGGTTGGTTCGCGGCGCCACTGACGGAATTGACGGCTTCGACGCAGCGACTCGGCTCTGACGCGCCTGCGCGATCCCCTACCGATTGAAGGAACGCAACTTAGGGACACTCACGGACACAGTGTACGGAAATACAAATGTATCACGTTCGTAAATAAATTATGCTGCAGACTCTAATCAACGTTTTTTTACGCTCCTCCCAAAGTTTTCGAATTCGTTTACGGGTAAAAGGAGATTTTCTTGTATTCTCCCAAATAATGAGGGTAGTTGTATAATAAAACAAAAGCCAATCAGTTTAATAAGATAACAGACTTAACAAGCATTGTTCTTTTCTAAATTGAAACCCCTAAATGTAAGTCGTGTACTGTGGTCACAGATCGGCGTCTTGGTGACGTAATACGGCGACCACCAGTCTGTGGCCCACTGTCGGCAGACGACGGGTCGCCGGCCTCTGACATGTCACGTTTCGACTCTGTGACTGTAAACTATATCAGAGATTTGCTGTGTCAACGTTGGTCAGCAACGTCATTGGTTGATTGACGTACACGCCGTGCTGCACCATAAGGCAACATGATAAATCGTTCCCTTGATTGGCCCTTCGGTTGAAAATATTAAGTGCCGTTTATCGGGAATCACTAGTTTTACTATCATATTTTATGAGTCACTGCCAATAAGTAGTCGTTTTTTTTTTAGCGTTATAAAAACGCAAATTCATGAAGACGTTAGGTGTTTTTATAGGAATCGAACTTCGATTCTATGTTTTCGCGATTTGTAAGTTTACAACTGTGCAAAGTATGTTTACCAATACCGTTTTATGAGTTCACCTGTAAACACAAGAAGCGGTTACTATGAAACATAATAATATATCTGTTAGATTATACACGCTTCACCTCAATTTGCCTTCGCATTGTAGGTAGGTACTTATTATGTGATTTGCGTTGTCACATTATAATAATAAATCTACTGTCATGTATTTTACCTTTTTGAAGTAAGTTAAGAAATAAAAAACGAATTCTTAAATATCCAGGGTAAATCTGAGAATTTCTAAAATCTTAATTTTTAACCCGCTTTTATTAGCTTGGTATGTTTATATGTAAAGGTTTTTTTAATTGCTTAGATGGGTGGACGAGCTCACGGCGCACCTGAAAACAACAACAACTTAAATGCCGCCACTCACCTTGAGACATTAGTTCGGAGTCTCAGACTTATAGTATAATACGAAGACTTCCCCACTCTTCAAATAGAAACGCGTCTGCTTCACGGCAGAAATAGGCGAGGTGATGGTACCTACCCGTGCGGGTTTACAAGACGCCCTGCCACCAGTATCTTCAAATATTACTTTCATAGACTTCTATAGTTCTGATTGATTTGAAAATTGGCACACTTATCAAGGAGTGATGACAGTACAATAATTCTCTAACTTCGCTGTAACAGCTTGACCGGTATGAACAGGATAAAAAAAAGAAATTCTTTGTTAGTTCCTTCGCTTAGTTAGTTTGCTATTAAAGCTCTATTTTTTTTTAAAGTTTTTAAACTTAAACATGTAAATTCAAATATCTTTAGTTTAGTTTCAAATAAGTATTTATATATTGCGTTGCATTAACATTTAGGTACTGTTAAGAATTAGGATCATACTTTGTGAGGAGAGTCTGATACTCAGAGACCTGACCCTGTTCATTATCATTCACACATCCAAAAGTGAATGGAATAAAAAATACAACATTAACTAGGAATTCCAAGCATCGGTCATCGTTTTCGTCGACTGCGAAGAAGAGTTCAAACTGCAGACACAACCGACTTAATTTCTCGATCTCAGTGGGTTCCGAACTGGTTTCGGATTCAGTCAAGCACCGCTCTTGTCAGGGCAGATGTTAGGAAGCCTCCGGAGGGAGTTAACACTGAAGTGCCACCACTACAGTGACAGTAACGAGGACACGTCCTCGTTGCGAAGATAGGACCATACTTGTCGCTTCCGATCGTCGTGGCTACGATGCTCGGCAGCGACGAGTCCGGGCAGGCGATGCTCTACTTCTGCGAATCCCCCATCTCGCAGAAGGAGGCGGCGGAACGGGAGAGGGAGAGCTCTTCTTCGCTTTGGGCGCCGTGCCACCGCTGCTGAGCCGGGGGGCGGAGGAGGGCGTTCGTCCAGATCCGGCCCCTACGAGGAAGCAGTCTCCTCCCAATGATGGTCGAGTGGCGACCTGAGAGGGTAGAGGCTGTGCCGCGCGCTACAGTTGCTCTAGCGCTGCGAGTCATTGGCTGCAATGCGTCATGCATGGTAAACTACATTATTTTAACCACATCTCAACTCAGTTTAAAAAACAGTGTTAATCTTAATGAGTTATCGGAGCTTTATAAGGCCGTTAAAATGTTAGTCTCTATGCTCGCCGGATCTTCTCAGTGGGTCGCGTTTCCGATCCGGTGGTAGATTCTGCGAAGCACGGCTCTTGCTAGGGTTCGTGTTAGCAACGTCGTCAGGTTTGAGCCCCGTGAGCTCACCTACTAGTTAAGGTTCCGCTGATATAGCCTCTCAAGACTATCAGCTAAGGTAAAAAAAAAGTCTCTGTTGTGGTCCGATAACAGGTTATAAGGAAAACTTTTTTTTTCATTTATTTCAAAAATAGACATTCTATTCGCAATTCTGTACAGTTAAACGATTGAAGCTTCGACATTGTTTTAAAATTGTTATTCATTTCGGAGGTGATCGCATCTCCGACCCAGGCGACGGGGTAATGCAAAGCCGCCGTTACCCGAAGCATGTCTTGTTGGATCCCCCGGATTCACTCTCGCTGCTATAGACTCTTTAAGCACAGGTCACCGTTCCAAGCGAACTAACCCATAGATAGCGAATAAGCATGGAATAAAAACGTAATCGAATCATAAAACATAATATTTTTTCCTACCTATTCTAGTAACCTCGAGGGGTTATTCTAGATTCACCGAACTAGTAGGTGAGCTCACGGGGCTCAACCCGGGAGTGTTGCTAACACTGACCCTAGCAAGAGCAGTGCTTCGCAGAATCTACCACCGAATCGGAAACGTGACCCATTGTGAAGATCCGGCGAGAAACTCAGTGAGCTATGTCTATAGATTAATTTACTCACGTACGGCGTACTTACACGTACACGTACTTACTTACGTACGGCGAGGACGATGACTGGAATCATCAATAAGATTACACCGTCATATCGACTAGCTCTTGGACGCTTTTACTAGATCAAGTACAGCTGCAACTTCTTTAAATCAGCTAAATAATAATACTATTATCTAAATTAAATAAAACACATTTCATTTTTATAAAACACTTCATTAATTTACCTTAATTCTATGAACAGACTTCATCAACATTTTATTGTCAAATCCACATCTCAAACTAATAGAAACATTTGCTTTCTATATACAAATTGACATCGCTTGAATTTTTTTTGTTTGTTTATAAAATCACATTGAAAACCGATTCAGAATGTTTATATTCGGAGCCTCCATCCTTCTCTTTTTGTGCCCATCATCGTGGAGTGTTAGGCCTTATTAGCAGAGGTCTGTTTGCGACGGGACGTTTGGCGACGATGACGCGGCGATACCTCCTGGCAACTCCGCCCCGCACCCTCACGACGGCGGACTCACTTGACTTCACCTCTGTACATAAATAGACACGATACAAATAGGTCACGTAACGTTCGTAACGCTGTCATAACGCATTTTACACGTAACATCAAGTCATTTGTTAAATTATTCATTAAATCGATGAACCACGTTTCATTTCACTTCATATTATCATTTTTCATATATAAAAAATTAAAATAAGTCTTGACCTAAAGGTCTTAGTTACCAGGTCAAAAATCCCTTAAAAAAAGCTTTGTGTGTCAATGTAGTAAGGGCTACCTGTTGTTGATTGAGAGTGGGTGTCGTCGTCGGCAAACACGATCGGCATCTGCATGATGTCGGCGGCGGTGGGGGCGGCGCGGCGCGGGACTAGGGGCGGGACGGGGGCGGCGAGGGGGGTCGAGCCGGCAGCGGCGGGAGGGGGAGTTGGGGGGGTCAACGCGCTGCGGGACACCACGCGACCGTCTGTCACATTACACATGCACGTGTCAATTGAAAATTGGCTATATATAATAAAAAAAAATATAAAAAAAGTGTTTCTACATCAACGCCTACCTTTTCCGACAGTGCAATTTCACTTTATTTATCTCATAAATTAAGATCTTTTATTAAAAGTTACCTAGTGTATTTCTGTCAATATTGGACTAAACTTGAAAACATCTGTCAAGTCTTTCCAAAACTATTATAATCTCAGTGGCTGGCACACTTAAGCTGGTAACACTTAATTAAAATGGTAATAAACTTACCTATAATTTCTATTGAACGAGTGTTGCTGTAACAAAAATAAAATGGCTAATATATAAACAATAAGACTTAGACTAGAGCATCCTAACTTGACAATGAGCCCTATCGCTAGGAAATAGGACACATATTTATGTGAAAATATATAGCTCGTCTTCCGATGGAATGAGCTTGGATGTACTTTGCAGATCGCTGTTTTAATATATTTGGAATAGTTTCTTTTTTTCTCTAGATCGACAGACTCTCTGGTGATTATATGATACAAACACAAATTTATTAATTTTGTGGGTTTTATTTCTATTATTAATTATTCTCTCATTGTTATAGTTGTGTTCCTGAATATTCGTTAAATATGTATTTTTATTTATAATAAAATCAGTTTTAGCTGCAGGATTTGAAGACCGGAACAGTCGCATCGTTCGCTGCGGGAAACACAAGGCGTATTAACCTTTAGGCCAAGGGTTCCCGAACTTATTTTGTCTACTGCCCATTTTGAGAACAAATTTATTTATAGCGCCCCATTTTTTCACCTACCTACTCCATAACCACTATAGCGAGAGCTCAGTCGGTGTCTAGGAGTCCTCCTAGATGAAATTACAAATCGCCTCCCAAGCCTCTACACAACGCCCCCATTTTTTTCTGGCTCTCTTACCGTGCCCCTTTATGCCTGCAGCGCCAAGGGGGCGTTATCGGCCACTTTGGGAAGGGATGCTTTTGCCCAACGACATGCAAAATGCCAATGGAAAATTTGTCCACTTTGGTTGTTATTGTCTTTACCTGTGTACGGTCGTACGAAGAGTTGCCGAGGACGAAGTGGTGGGAAGATGGGCGTATTCATCGTCATCCATCTCAATACCTGTTAATGAATGTCTTTGGTTGACCAAAGGTGGAAAGAACGCAGCGGTTTTACACTGGAAGACTAGAGATTTTTTCCTCCTACCTATGCTGATAGCCTTGAGAGGCTATATCAGCGGTACCCTAGCGTGTAGGTGAGCTCTCGGGGCTCAAACTGGAGTGTTGCTAACACTGACTCTAGCAAGAGCAGTGCTTCGCAGAATCTACCACCGGATCGGAAACGCGATCCACTTCGGAAGATCCGGCGAGAAATTCAGTGAGCTAGATAATAATGAGTGGATAAAGGGGTTATGTACCATTTTACCGTTTTAAGATTTCTGAACTTATAAACCATATTGGACCTTAAAACTCCAGGTTTAAAGGCTATTTTTAGAGGTTGTACGTGATGAAGGACTTATCTAAGAAGCAAATGTACAAGTAACAAAAGTTTATTCCCCGTTTTCTCAAAATTAACAAATTGTATCATATCTCCTTCATCCACTCATGTGTTCAATTGCTAGCTTCAATAGACTACGAACTGATCTATGCTCCGATTTCTTTTTTGTTATCATGATCAATTCAATTATTTTTCTTGTTTCTCTTAAATATTGTAAGTGATAATTTGGCCATTTTTAGATTATCCCCGAGTTACCCTAATATTGTATATCAAAGCCCCAGAGTATTCTGTAAACCTTGCCAGCGAACAAAAACAAAGCTACGTACGAACGCCGAGAGTCGTAACTACTGGTGAACTCGCTTCCGTTAAGACAATTAGCGGAAATTAAATTAATCCATAGATCGCACGAATCTTATGTAATAAATAATTTTATGAGCTCTGATTATGTTTCAATGGCAAAAATTAATAACCTCAAAATAGCGTATATTTAGGGTTGCCAGTTCCGAAATTTTTAGTGTTTTCGTCTTATAATTGTCTCAGTTTTCGATAGCTTTGGATTATTGACTAATAAATAATTAGGTAACAATGTTAAAGTCTTACCACGTTTCATTCGATGTTTTTCGCGGACCGGCTCCTCTTGTGCAGTTTCAATCGTTTCCGACATCCACCGCGCGCACTCTTCCTGTAAATATAAAAACAAATCCATTGAGTTTCTCGCCGGATCTTCTCAGTGGGTCGCGATACCGATACCAGTGGCAGATTCACCGAAACACTGCTATTGCTAGGGCTAGTGTTAGCAAATTCAGGTTGAGCCCGTGAGCTCACCTACCCGTCCAGTGTGCTTAGTGCGAGTTTTTTAATGTTCTCGATAGCGTAAAAGTTAACAACAATTTTGTATGCAGTTGGAACAGCGCCCCTAGCGGCAAACGTAGGCAAACGATCCCATTCCATACAAATATGAGCTAGCTTTTACACTATCGAGAAAGTTAAAAAACTAGCACTAAGCACACTGGCTTAGCTGGAATAGCCTGATAAGCTACCAGCGAATAGATTAGGGGAAAAAAAAAAAACAATAAAATGGATGCCGTTCAGTCGTGGAACAAACGAAATGTTCACAAGTATTCTATCTATCTCGTTTCCTCGCAGGCTAAGTCCTATATAAGTATCTCTCGTTTTAGTGTCGCATTCTCGCTCATTCCAGTTTAGTTCAAAACAACGAATCTACAATAACATCCACGTTGGACGGCTTTAAGGTAGCGTTACTTGAAAAAAATTCTAGCTTTTATTCTAGCTGACAAGGTAAGGTTAAGTGAGGTGAGCTCGTTTTCGCATACTGCATCTGCTATTTGCAGGCATAATGCCGTATCTACTTCTTGTTGAAATTGTTGTTATTCGCATCGAGTGTATGGAATTCACGGTGCTCTGTTATACATCTAGGATCGGATCGGAATTGAGACCCATTGTGAAGACTCGGCGGAAGACTTAGCGAGCGAATGTCTACGGGCTAAGTGTCTTGTTAAGAACTCTTCCCGAAGAACTCACTGCTACTGCTAGTGCAGTGCTAGAAGCTTCTTGGAAAGTATATCAGGACTGCCCACCCGGTGTTAAGTGGTTACCGTAGCCTATAGACATCTACAACGTAAATGCCGCCACCCACCTCGAGACATGAGTTGTAAGGTCTCCGTTTTAGCTGTACAACCCCACCCTTCAAACTGAAACGCATTACTGCTTCACGGCAGAAATAGGCAGGGTGGTGGCACCTACCCGCGCGGACTCGTAATACATACCGCAATGGCTGCGTCGAGCGCCCGCTGGTGCAGCTTGTACTTGGCGCGGCGCGGCGCCGGCAGCCGCAGACTGCGCCCCGCCCCCCGCACCTCCACCGCGCGCCGCCCCGCCCGCGCACACACCGCGCGCACCACCGCCCGCGCGCCCCCGCACACCACCAGCATCGGCACGCGCACCTGGGACACGCCCGTGACGTCACACAGTCGAACGCGATAAAACAAACTGTCTACATTTTAATAAGCTTTTATTATTATAGCTTCAGACGTATATGTATGTTAGTTACGGAATCTTTGAACATGATTTTGACCCCCTTCAAAACGTCGGATTAACTCGTAATTTTGGTATAGGTACTTATTAAGGACCGACGACAAAACAAAATCAGAAAAAAAAAATTGAAAAAATTGAAATTCACTTAAAAAATGATAAATAAAAATAGAAATTTTTTTTTAATAAATTTGAATTTAAAGCAGTGTAAGATAAAATGATTTTATTGTAAAAAAAGCGTGGGGTGCATGGATCAGTAGTTACACATATTTTATGAACAGATATGAGTAGAAGGGTTATTTTGATAATATCCTGAAAAGCGTATTTTGTTAGTTTTTTTAAACTATTATTTATATTTTATTTGCTTGAATGGGCAAAAAAACCTCACGACTTTCCTGATGATAAACAATAAGTAGAGTTCATAAACACCAGAACGTGAAACGTAGGTATACCTTGATACATGGATATGGAAATTTAAATTGGTATAATGTCTCCTTCAAACACAGACAAATTGGTTGTTTTCACTCTTGGTAGCTTGCAACGGACTATGCGGCAAAAAAATGACATAATAACTTAAATTATATGCCGTACCTCATGCAGCGGGTCTTCAGGATTGTCGCGTGAGCCCTCTGCGGTGATGAGCATAGGCGCCAGCAACAACAACCCACGCAGCCGCATACCTCCCGATCCCGTCGCTAGAGCCACGCAAGCGGCCGCTCCCGCACTCGAGCCCCCCAGAAACACGGGCCGGTCCCCCGCCGCCGACATTACCTCGCTTAGTGCAGACCGCGCGGCGCTTACTGCTGCAGCGCACCACGCATCCGGGGCCGACACCGGCGCGGTCAGTGGCAGCACGCGGGTGTGCACCAGTGCCGCCAGCCGTCGCGTCCAGCGGTCCGACCCCACCCACGCGAGCCAGGGACCTGGGCCCGGACCCAGCGCCGGCCCGATACCAGTGAGTGGTCGCCCTTGACCAGCCGCTCGGGCCGCTCCCAACCGTTCGGCAAGCTTCGGGGCCGCCCGGCGGAATTCCTCTATTACCTCATCATACTGCCGCCGCTGCGACCGCGGCATATGTGCCAGTATAGCGGCGTGTAGCCAAGGGGGGGCTCGTCCCGCCGGCGATACCGGAGTAGCCCACAGTGGAGCGAAAGCAACCCGTAATTTTCTAGCCGCCGTTCTCGCTGCCTCTCGACGGGAATTACCCGCAAGGCTTGCGAGCCGTAGTTCGCGAAGTATTTCAATGGCACATTCTGCGAGGCCGGCGTGAGCGGGGGTCGGGGCAAGGGCAATGATGCCTGCTTCCCAATCATCCTCCACAGCAGGATCTTGTTCATCCAAATTTTCATCACAAGGATCATCCGGTAATTCTGGTAGCACAGGATCTAAACGTTCCACATCTAGTTCATCTTCAACACGGGATGTCAATGATGCGAGTAGTACACGAGATTCTGTTACTGCTTGTGGAATCGTGCCTCGTGCTCGTGCATAGGAATGCTCCATCCATACCCCTGTTCGAATTTCCTGTCCAAGTGCATCAAATTTTATTTACAGAAAATGAATACAATTGTATGCAAATACTCGTATTAACTTTTATCTATAACAATGAAACTTACATTTGGGTCACTAAGGGTGTGAACATATTCAACGAATCTTTCATGCAACGCAGCTGCCTCTTCGCGAGAATCCATCACCTGTAAATTATAAAATAAGAGTTTATATTGGTAATACAATAATTTGAACAGGGACAATTAGACCAGAGTACACTCTGGATACATTTTGTTTGTTTCAAAATGAGTGTTTACTTATATTTACTTTCACAATTTATAATAATTATAATACTAAATCAAATAACCAAACATTCATTTATGTTTTTACCATTAATATAGAATTGAGACATTCACCGCAAGTTTCAAAGTTCATGGTGGAACTTAAATTGTGATATATGGGCTACTGTACCTATTTAACACTAAATGAGCCCTGAGCTCATTTAGGTATTATAATAGTCTAAAAGTTATAAAATTTGGGTTATGCTGAGAACATTAATATTGCCCGTGATTTATAACCATATATCATGAGTTTTAAAAATGGTGGCATTTAAAATAAAGACATAGTTATGTAGTAGTCTTTGTTCTACTGTTTGAAGCAATCACTCTAAAAAACCTTACAATTTACAATGTTTTAAAAATGTAGATTTTAATTTTAATTAATTTTGTGGTTTGTGTTACCATGAAGATGAATATATTTTGCTACCAAATCATCCAGTCATAGTTCATTCACTCATCATGTTTGCCAGTTTATAAGAAATATAGTTACATTACTTGTCAATGCTCAGTAAGCTGATAGTCCAAATGCTGTTGTTTGTAAAGTTGATGTTAAATGCAAAAAAAAAAAACAGAAATAACATAGCACATAAAATAAAGAAAACTACACACTTATAATTGACTTTTAGTGTGTTTTATGCTTAGGCTACAAATTGAATTATTACCTATACCTTATATTAACAACACTAATAAGGATTTTATGTTTGTTAGCTCTAGTGGAGTACTGTAATTTTGTATAAATAACTAAATAAAAACTAATAAATAATAATAATTGTTTGGTATCACTACTTAAATACATTCATCATTACATTCCATCAATGTGAGTTTTAAATAAATCATTATATATTTATTGAATTCACTCAAAGATATTCTTTAAAGAAGCACAACAGGTTCTTTTTCATTTTTTTATTACAAGAGCATAATACTATGATACACATGATCATAAATGGTCACTATTCCCAATGTTTTACATTAATATCAACTTCTTTCACATTTGGACAAATTCTTTCCTGATTTGACCATCTAAGTTCTTATTCAAGTTACAAATCTCTTCTACTTCCTCATAACTCAAATATAGTGGGCACAACCCTTGAGTTCATTTTGGATTCTACATTACTAATCAATGATCTCCTATTATCATTCTAGTTACATGATACTTGTATCTCCTATGTAGTCATTTATCATTCTAGTTACATGATACTTGTATTTCTTTTCAACACGTTCTAACGACCACAACACAACTTGTTTACGATTACACCACATCGTAATCAAAGAGTAGGTTTTAAGATATGATCTTACGCCTACTTACCTCTAGTGGGGAATCAGCGGTGCTGAACCTTTGGTGGTTCGACGTTATCGTAGCCATGAGTTCTAATTGTGAATGAAAGTCATCAGTTCTCAATACCTCAGGTTCGGTGAAGCTAGCATAGCCCCTAGAGGTTACTAGCAGTAAGTAGGCAAACAGTCTTCAATAGAACCGATGAAATTAAAGAACTCAGGTATGTACGGTGTATTTTTTATGTTATTCTTTGCTTTTCTAATTAATTGTCTGCAAGCTGAAATAATACAACAATTGCGTGTAGACAACGTAAAAATGTAAATAAACAAACAATAATTACATATAAAAATATTTCACATACGAAATAATACGAATAACATTCATTTTAATATTGAAAAGTGATATGTAGTGAAAAATGAAAATATTTTTTTACAAATGAAGAGCGATTGACATTGACAGTTCATTTTGACATTCAGTTTAGAAATGCGATCTGAAATCGTAGAATCGAAGAGCTGAATACTTTTTTGTAATGAATCGACATCCCTAGGTTTTGAATTTTACCATTACTTTGACTTTAACAAAACTTCCGAGAGCTTTGGTGTATTTTTTATGGTCACGATAGCTTGTATATAAATTTTAAAGAAATGCATTTAATTTTATTGATTTACTATGAACTATTACTATGATATACTACTACTATTTTTGCTATCTCTTCACATCTTGTCAGCAGGTCGCGATTCCTACTCGTCGATAGATGCACTCGCGTATTAACCTGTTTCCTCTTTAGAAGGCGTTTTAGGCAATATTTGCAGAGCGTCCTTTCTGGCTCGCCTATCCGTTCTGGGGACGCTAAAAACATTTCCAAACAAGTAGCAATTTTTCCATTATAAAGATATGATAAAAACAAAATAAGCAACATCCGATTGTCTGAAGAATTTTCTAATTTGTATGTGACAAATTAGGAGGAGATTTTGTGTTTTGTAATATAAAATATGAATGAACTGTGAGGGCCGTGACGCGTTACTCATTCGCGCGTAAACCGATTTAGGTGATTGGCTTAAAGATAGACATAGGATGTTCTTTTTTAATGCAATTTTTATGTTATTTTAATTATATAGGTTTTAATCAGATTTTTTATGATTTTTGTTCTGCTTGTATCAGTAGATGGCGTTGGTGTCGATTTAGATCACGCCATGGTTTTATTCACGGAATAGATAAATAAGGTTGGAATGGTAATGTAGGCGGGGCAAGCGTGCCACAGTTATGATAGAACAAACATAACTCGACCGATTCTTTCATTCACCGCGTTTAGTGCGCTTCGGACTACTTGGCGAACAGATCTCCGCTTTATAGTGCCGTGTTGTGCAATTATAACTTGTAAAACAAAAAATCAGACCTCANAGTCCCTTGTGACCACCAGCGATTAGGTAGGAAAAAGTAAGAAGTATATCGTCGATCGATGTATTGATGTTGTGACCTTGCAGTTTAAACTCATAACATGCATCCCTGTTACATTTCATGTATATTATTATACTAGTGTTAAGAATTCTTGTACGTGTTTGCATTTTAAGAGGCTTGAATAAATATTATATTATAATAATTATAATTTCATAGGCTTCAGAGATGTACATATTTTTTGCCCCAAGGTTATAATAATAATAAAATAATGCTATGAAATGTGAAACTAAAATTTCAATTTCGCGTAATAAACACTTTTCTAGTGCTTAGATGGGTGGACGAGCTCACGGCCCACCTGGTGTTAAGTGGTTACCGGAGCCACCTTGAGATATGAGTTTTAAGATACAACAGTTGCCCTACCCCGTAAACCGAAACGCATTACTTTTTTTTTATTGCTTAGATGGGTGGACGAGCTCACAGCCCTCCTGGTGTTAAGTGTTTTTTTTTTATTGCCTTTGTAGGCAGATGAGCATACGGCCCACCTGATGGTAAGTGGTCACCGTCCCTCATGGACGTCAGCAATGCCAGGGGCAAAGCCAAGCCGCTGCCTACCTACCATAAAGTACTCTCCGCAAGCCTCGTTTGAAGAAGGACATGTCATAGCGCTCGGAAAACACCGTGGAGGGGAGTTCATTTCAGAGCCGGATGGTACGTGGCAAAAAAGATCTTTGGAAACGCACTGTCGATGAACGCAGCGGTTCCAGATAATATGGATGAACTCTGCTCCGATGGCGGGAGGTGCGATGATAAAAAGGAGGTGAGGGAATCATCTCGAATAATTCCTTAGAGCATTCCCCATGGACCATACGGTATAAAACACAGGGAGGTTACTGGAGCCCTTAGACATCTACAACGTAAATGCGCCACCCTCCTTGAGATATATGTTCTAAGGTCTCTGTATAGTTACAACGGCTGCCCCACCCTTCAAACCGAAACGCATTACTGCTTCTCGGTAGAAATAGGCAGGGTGGTGGTTTGTGAACACGATTGATTCGTGAGTAGAGAACGGTAAATCTGGACTTCAACGTATTGAATCAACAGATTGAATACGAAATCGCTTCGTCAGTAGACAATTTAACAGCTACGATATCCTGTAAATCGGAAAGTTAACCTGGTTCGCGGCAGAAATAAGAATCGATTCCGCATAATCCGGGTCGGTTGCGGTAAAAATCAAATCCATATTATATTATACTCATAAATTATTTTAAGACGTCTTCGTGAGTCACGAGCGTGATAGCACATAATGCTTTTGCGGCTTCATTCGGACGATAAGAATATTACGCTAACCTTCGTCCGTGATCACGATTAATTTAAAAAATAATCACGGTTGATTAATATTTTCTTCGATTCTCACGAGTCTTAGACACTATTAAAAATAGTGTTGCGTTTTAATTTCGAGTTCAGCGTTTCCGATCCGATAATAGATTAATTCGCGAAGCAGTTACTCTTAAGTTTTTAGGTCTCCTTTGGAGGCGCTCGGGCAGCCGTTAGCGAATCCCGCCCCTCCTGGCTGAGCCTTTACTCGCCCATCTGTCCTGGCAAAACTGGAAAGGCTTCAGTCATAAAGCGTTTCTTACTGTCACCATTTTATTTTTAACCTTTCGAATTATCGTTTAACGAGTCCGTGTCGTCGTGACGCCGTCTCGATTAAATCGTAAAAGAAGTTTTGATTATGGACGATCGACTTTACCAGAAGTTTAATTTCGTTGTAGGGTTACGAGCTGAGTAGTGTTACAAAGTTGGGGCGTGAAAGGTACCTACGACGTCTGGTGTTTAAAGGGATGCAACTAATAAAATACGAATCTAAAATATGCTCACGATTGACTTCAACGGTAAAGGAATAACATCGTGTAATAAAAATCAAACCCGCAAACTCATAATTTGCGTAATTACCGGTGGTAGGACGTCTTGTGAGTCGGCGCGGGTAGGTACCACCACCCTGCCTATTTCTACCGAGAAGCAGTAATGCGTTTCGGTTTGAAGGGTGGGGCAGCCGTCGTAACTATACTGAGACCTTAGAACATATATCTCAAGATGGGTGGCGCATTTACATCGTAGATGTCTATGAGCTCCAGTAACCAGATAACACCAGGTGGGCTGTGAGCTCGTCCACCCATCTAAGCAATAAAAAAAAACTGTTTTATTTCATTTTGGAAGGATCTCTTATTACTTTAAATTTAATTTTAATGGCAATCACTACTTTACTAGTTTAAACACATTCTTTAAAATAAGTACTATGTAGAAATAAAACAAAAATTAATATTAAAAATAATTTCTTATTTAATTAATAAAATAAATTAAATCAACAATTTGGTGGCAAGATAGCTTCTAGAGACGGAGTGAAATTAACACGACCCACTCCCAACTCTTTCATAAGGAACTCTATCTATAGTCTACTTAATTGACATCCAATGGCACNTTAAACACATTCTTTAAAATAAGTACTATGTAGAAATAAAACAAAAATTAATATTAAAAATAATTTCTTATTTAATTAATAAAATAAATTAAATCAACAATTTGGTGGCAAGATAGCTTCTAGAGACGGAGTGAAATTAACACGACCCACTCCCAACTCTTTCATAAGGAACTCTATCTATAGTCTACTTAATTGACATCCAATGGCACAGTCTACCGTTGCACTAACTTTAAAAAAAAACTTTACAATTTAAAACAACAGATACCTATCAGGTTCTCTATGGTTCTTTGTCTTATATAATTTAAATTCTTCTCTCGTTTCGTTTCTACTTGTTCGAAAATGCTATCACGAAATTTTATTTGTCTGTTTCATTACATTATTTAAATTGTAGCTCATTATCTGTGAATTCACATAATTTTATCAATAACAGTAACACTGAATAAATTTAAAACAATAATTACAAAATTATGAAAAAGGAAATTATTTGAAATTATAAGTATTGGTAACGAAACAGCTGTCTCAACATGCAGAGAATTTCTTTTGGTTTATGTGAAATAAAAATACACATTGTACATAGTAAAATTAGCTGATTTTCATTTGATTTCACTTTGTCAGGTCAACACTAACAATTTTAACAACACTAACACAGCTTTATAATTTATATCCGAAAATTACCCTATTGTATATTAAAGTGTAGTGATGTCACAATTTTGGTTAAACTATTTTTCTTATACCTTTAAACGAGCAATTCTTGTATATATAGGTATATATAATCTGAATTTCGGAAACGGCTCCAACGATTTTCATAAAATTTAGTATACAAGAGATTTGGGGGGCGATAAATCGATCTAGCTACGATTTATTTTCAGAAAATGTTGTTTTATTCGTGTTTTCAATAATCAACTTTATCGATAATCAACTTTATGACTCTTCCCGACATCTATTGGCGAATAATAATACTATTTTTACTGCTTTAAAGACACAACAAGACGGCGTTATAAAAAAAAAAAAAACGACCAAAGCTCGGTCATCCTCTATTCTATTCAATTTTCACACGGCAAGCTTAATTGACATTTTCGTTAATTCGATATGACGACAAGTGCCACTAGATACGCGGATGTCAATAACTATAATAAATTTCTAATCTAGTCGATGTTGTTTTCAATATCACATTTAAATTGAGGACAGCAATCTGGAAATGGCTTGCTAAGATCTATGTCAGTTATGAAACACTTGGATTCGTCGCTGGAGTCAATTGTACCGCATCTGTAAAAAAAAAAAAAATTGGTTATGCTATTACATTATTATTTTTATTATATTTTACTTTTATTATTCGATTAGGAACAAAAAGCTTCGAAAATCATAACGATTCAAATCAAATCAAAAAACAGTTCGGAATTCGAAACGGTTCTACTAAATAAAGTCCATGGTAGTTTCTGTAAATTTACACCAGTTTATTGAGAAGTTATTTTGTCTAATTAAACACCTAGATATGCGCCGGTTTGTCTTGTCTCATTTAACGAATAAAATGTAAAATCCAATTATTTTGATTATATTTAATTAGATTCCATAATTAATTTCATTTCTTATAAATTCTTGTTAAAAAAGATTTGTCTGTATAATCTTTTTTAACAAGAATTTATAAGAATAAGATCACATTTCATTTACCTGTTTAATGGACGAATCACATAAATATGTATGTTAAAAATAATTGAACAAAATCGAACGACATCTGCTACAAACATCTGGAACTTGATTTTTTTTAATTTCTATTTTTTCTAAGGCAGTTCAATCTCTCAATTATGTTATTTATGTGGGCCACAAGAACCCCTAATTTTTCTCAGATCTTGAATAAAAAGTTTGATAGGCACATGTTCCCTTCTATTATATTTGAGAGATTAAAAACAGAATTTTAGCTCGTCAGGTTTGAGCCCCATGAACTCACTTACATGTTAGGGTGAAGCTGAAATATCCTCTCAAGGCTATCAGCATAGGTATAAAAAAAATAGAATTTTATAGAAAAAAAAACACTTACGAAGAATAGTCCATCATCCTTTTCCCGCATGATATCTCGTAACAATGTCCAATGGGTGTTACAGTTTTTCCAAATGCTATGACGTCATCAATTTCCTTAACGTAACATCCCTCTTTGTGGGCTGCAACAAGGAATTTCGACTTTAATGACAATTAATTATAAATTTTACTATCTAAATGCCTTCGCCGAAAACGTTGTGTTATTCATATAATAATTCACAGAATATTGATAATAATTCACTATTATACATATTATTATATAAACACACATTTAAGATAATAATTCACAGAATATCGTGTGCGGTGTGCGAAATTGTATACCAAAGTACAATGTTCAATAATTATTTTATTTATTTGTGAAAAAATTAAGCGCAGGAAATACGTATTGACAGCTTACAAAATAACACTGTTGAATAAATGACCCCGTTGAAGTTAATTTGAGACTTTTCCCTTCCTTAGCATACTCATATTTTTTTCCTACAATACTAAATGTAGGCTTCAAGAAGGCTTGAAGGACCAAAATGTAGTATAGGGTGCGGTGTGAGTTTGTTAGTTAAAGATACGTTGCTTAAAAATGTTTATTGTTAAAATATAGAGAAAATAATTAAATGTTAATGTTATGAATGCACCCGGGTGACGCGGTTGTTGATCGTGCACTGACGATTTGTGGAAATGAAGTTAACGCGTCACGCGAATTATGCTGACAAAGGTGTTCGGTAATATATCACCGAACACTAAATAAAAGAAGAATGCCGGTAATCGGAGGTGTTTGAACTTTTATATCTGCATAATTAACACTTCCGTCATCCACTTGCAAATAGTTAATCGTGACGTGAGAAAACATTTTTACGCAAATCGGAATAAATTCAATGTTCTTGTTTCTGGTGCACATTTTTGTCTTAATTACCTTTGAGGCACAATTTAGATTAATGTTCAATTCAATTAATACAATATAAATTTATATAGACTTCAGTGTGGGCATCGCAATATTTTGTATCTTTCAATGCGGTAATACAATTTTCGTCAATTTGAATGATGAATTAAACAATAAACACGAAATAAAACCTATGTCTATAACATATTTTAAATTAGAAAACCTTATTATTTTCCGTAAATACTATTTTATTATCCTATTTTGACTATCTATTTAATGGAATATTAGTAGTCCATAATCTGTAGTCAAACTAATTATTTAAATTTTAAAAAATCTAACTACCTATTTATAGAGTTATAATTGGGTGTTTTAAAGTCAACAGCGAATATCTCTATGTGAAACAGTTTCTTGAATTCCGGTTTGTTTTAATTTTGAAGCGTATGGTGGTTATCACTAGATCAGTGACGCATGAATATTATTTAAATGACGAAGACGCGAAATGAACTTTGTTTAAATTATTGCTTTGTTTATAGGTATTAAATTATTTCCGGGATATAAAGGATGCGTGATATATCCGCCTTAAGAGGTCAATGATTGACGTAACTTACGCTAGCATGTCTAATTATGTTAAGATGTAAATTGATGGACTGTACAATCAATAAAAACAATTAAAGTAAAATCTTTGTAACGAATCTATAAACACTTCAGTTAAGAAGTAAGATCTATAAGAAATTATTGTTCGAAATTTAAGGAATAAAAGTGTATTGCGATCACGAAAAGAGGAAAGAAAATATTACGAATTAATAGCGTTTGAAAACGGCCTATATCTAACAGGACACAATGTGTGCTCATTCGAGAAAAATAATTTATTGGTTCTTTGTGTTTTAGAATTACAGTACAGGCTTTATGCATATAATATAAAGTAATGGTAACCCTATTCCGTATTTATTGTTTCCTATAAAAACCTGCTAACACACCACCCTGCCTATTTCTGCCGTAAAGCAGTAATGCGTTTCGGTTTGAAGGGTGGGGCAGCCGTTGTAGCTATACTGAGACTTTAGAACTTCTAACTCAAGGTGGATGGCGCATTTACGTTGTAGATGTCTATGGGCTCCAACGACCATTTAGCACCAGGTGGGCTGTGAGCTTGTCCACCTATGTATGCAATAAAAAAATTACTAGCCTAATTATTTATACATATTATTATTTTACACTATATTATTTTTATATTACTTTAATGTATTCTACCTACATTAACAAGTGTAAAAATAATATGAGATATAAATTAATTTCAATTAAATTGAGATTCTTTGAGAATTGAGAATCTTAAATATACCTAGTAGATGTTCTAAAAATATCAAAGGTTTTTTTTTATTATTACAAGTGAGGTGCTATTATTTAATCGAATGGAAATCTTTGGCATTTGATGATCCGCAACATACACCTTATAGGTATTAAAACATCAATTTTATCTTTAAATAAACTTTGTGAGACTAATCAAAAGTAATTAATAAGCTGTCTTTTTTTTTCGGTATCTTAAGGATGTAATAAAAATGTCGTCGAAATATTTTCTTGTAGGTATTCGTTAGTTTAATTCGTTCCAGACATGGCTTTCGTTCGAAAAATTAAAATGGCGTTCATACGTAAACACGTTATAAACAAAAATAAATTCGTGGAATCGTTCGATTTAATCTAGAACAAAACGAGTCGATGAAGATATTTGCAGTCTATAAACATACATATATAATTATAGAATCTATATTATTTATCTAAATTCCTTAGTAACTGACCGAGAAGGTGTGCTGTTTTGTTACAGATGTAATTTCCTCTTTGGGAATCTTTGAAAAGATCCCTGGCAGAGATCAAACGTTTTTTCCAACAGAAAGACAATCTTAAACCATCAATGTTTGTTGTTAAAATGATGTCGCGGAATACCGCCTGCATATCGACGCTTGAAAGGCTTGAAAGGTTATTGCCTATCATTTATGCATAAAGCAGTTATTGTCGCTTAGTCACGTTTGCCTTTCAAGCGTCGATATCATGTTAAATGTCTTTACGAGCTAAACTGTTTTTAATTATGTGCATATTATTGGCACAAGTGTTTGTAGCTTTTTTGTTATGTATTTACAATTAAAGTCCACCGATCTGTGTACATTTCAATTGTTTTGTTTTTGTATATTTTGTATCGTAAAATAATAAAATGCCGACGAGTTTTTTTCTATTGCCGATCATTTAAAACATTTCATGAATATCTGTATACTGTACAAATATATCAACAATATTAACATAATTTATTATTATTAATATGAAATCAATAAGAGATAATTTTATAATCTTGTATATATATGTATGTTTGTATATCTTGAAACACGTTTCCGTTCGGGGCCTTGACCCAAAGTCTTTGGCGAGTTTCACAAACAGCACACGGCGCGGCGTGTAATTTGATCTTTACATTCAAAGTAAGTCATGTTTTATATGTACGTATGGTATCTACTTAAGTAGCTATCTGTGTGCTTAGTGCGAGTTTTTTAACGATCTCGATAGCGTAAAAGTTAACTCAAATTTGTATGGAGTTGAAACGTTTGCCTACGTTTGCCGCTAGGGGCGCTGTTCCAACTGCATACAAATTTGAGTTAACTTTAACTCTTACTAAGCACACTGTTGTTGTAATTATGCAAAGCAGATTTTCACAGCACTAATGTGAAAGACGCCGTGCCTTGAGCCTTAAGGCTTGAGGTCATAGTCTCATTTACATTAAATATTTTGGAAAACAGCATCTTTACTTGCAAATTATTCCAGGGAGAAATAGGCAGGATAATAAATACCTACTATAAGTCTTGGTCGTGACTACATAAATTAATGAATTCGCTATTTCAAGTTTTCCTTCATTTAAATTGAATTTAAAAGGGCCCTTATGCACAGAAAAGTGTGTAAGAAGTATTTACGATACCATGATATTTCTTTGGGAAAGTCCTCATATTAGAAACTAGCTGGGGGAATTCCAATTGCAATAAAATTTAGATCTTATGTCATATAAGAGATGGCTTCATATCACAATAAGGGATCAAATAACTGTCTAAAATCTAAAAAAAAAAACAGGCTTTAACAGTAAACCAGCGGACCATTTAGCGCTGCACTACACCAGGCAACTGACCGGAACCGATGGAGGCTAACAGTCGACAAGTTAAAACGGAGTCACGATCCTCAGCAATGAGGGAGCGATGGAGAAGAAGAAGAACAGTAAACCTTACTTTAAGAGTTAAGCCGCCGAATAAGCCGAATTTAAGATATCTCATTTTGATTTAGACTAAAACTGACGTAATTTGTGCAAATGCTGTATCAAGCACATGCACTATCGGTAAACTCTAGATCGGTAAAATAGACTTAAAAATTAAAAACAAACTAGAAATTCAAAAGTTCAAAGTTATATAATTGTAGTCATTAAATCAATATTATGTTTATGCTAATTCATAAATTGTTTTTAGGTATGTACACATATATTTAAATAAATAAAAAATTATGCACATGCAGATTTTCGAATATATCATTTCTACATTAATAAATCACATTTTTGGCGGCTAGCAAAGAAGTATGGTTATGTTTTATTATGGCAACACTCACCTAAATGTTCAGGTTTTTTCGGTAACCGACCTATCCAAGTCGCCGCATTCGCCACACATATAACGAAACCCAAAACAACTAATCTTGAGAACATTTTCTGATAAATTTAAAAACACGTTTTTAATATTAAATAATTTTTTTTTAAATATAGTCCGTACTCCTTGGAGCTTTGAAACTCGACTGATACTAAATTCGTCGGAGCGCCTGTTTATATTTACAAAGCGGCTGTCGATACACGAGCGACTTTCGTCTCATTAATCGTCGGTTGGTGACAGTAATAAATCTATATATTAATACGTGAAGCAAAAACTTTGTTTCCCTTTTTACGAAAATTGCGCGGACGGAGGAGTATGAAATTTTCCACACTTATAGAGAATACAGAGAAGAAGTGCACAATGCTAATATTTTGCTACACAATGCTAAAATAATGCATAAAAGATACTTTAAATCAATAAAGAAAACAGCACACACACTACATACCATGTATTTAACGCACACACGCATGCATACTATTTATTGTCAAACTTTTGTTCTTGACGTCTGTGGTCAAACTGAGAATAGATTAAATATTGTTTGTTTTTATTAATATTTTTTAATAGTGTAGCCTTGGCGAAATTCGTGATTATAGAAGTATAAAATACAACCATAATAGTGTACAAACTTACAATTCCAATTAATTATAACCGAATTTCGACTACTGCGGGACCTCTAGTTACTTTAAATACTTCATATGTGTCAAACATACATATTAGTTTAAAATATACTTGAATATGATAGATACACTCCTAATTTCTAAAGAATATTTTATTTCATCCAAACTAGATGCGTGAACAACGAAATTTTTAAACAAACAGACGGTCCGTTTTCAGCCGCAGCAAGCTAAGATTTTTCATCTGTATCATGATTGATGATATGATTTTTTATCTGTGCCACGAGCACACATATAAAAGCGGGAACAGAAGACCTCAAATAACAAATGTCTTTAGCAAAGACATTAAATCCGAGCACATGTCCGGACCCAGTGGTGTAGAAGAGGCCAACAACTTACCAATGGGGCGAATACACAGACTGTAGGCTTAATTTGTTTTTTTTTTATATGAAATGGTAATTGTTTGAGGTAATTGTATTATCCTATCAAACTATCTTCAGTTGAGATTCTATCAATACTGTCAATACAAAGTGTTGGTCAACCCTACAAAATGAAAGACTAACTTCACGGTATGCGGCTAACGGTCCGAATTTTAGGAGTCTAATTTAAACCTATCCAGTTTGTTACATCCGTCGAGCGGACTGGTATCAACAAGGATATAATACTTGATTAAATTAAAATTCATCAAACGCTAACGGTGCCTCATAAAAAGTGAATATTTGCTGGATATATGTACATGTTTTGTAAAGTCGCGACATCAGGGCGCGCCGCGTCTAGTCGTCGCCACAGTCGTCGCAGTGTGGGCGGCCTAACCAAGGACGCCACATCGGAATGTACGGGTATTTTAGTGATTCATCATTCTCAACGTAAACAAAACTTTTTTTTTCATGTATCAAGATCCGTGTGTCTTGTGAATTCGGTCTCTCGTTTTATTATTTATCTGTGGTATTATAAAAGTCACTAAATTTATATTACATTAATATATCCATTAGTTAAATAGTCAAACACGAATCATTCGAATACTTTTTGCTCGTCTGTTGATCAATCGATTTTCTAATTGGTTTTTGTTTAGTATGTATTAACGAAATATGGCATTATCATTAGATACCTATATATATATATATATATATAAACTATACATAGTTTTTTCTTTTTCAAATAGTAGATACGTAAAATAAATCTAAGTTTTGAGGTGTCAGTGATAATGGTACAATTTATAATAATAATAGCAACTGGGATCAAATCGCGCACGGTTATCCTGCCCGAAATAAGGATTCCAGTTTTATGGGTAGCAGAGAATGATATACGTTTTATACGTTTAAATGTATACATATATTTTTACTGGGGGTAGGACCTCTTGTGAGTCCGGACGGGTAGGTACCACCGCCTTGCCTATTTCTGCCGTGAAGCAGTAATGCGTTTCGGTTTGAAGGGTGGGGCAGCCGTTCTAACTAACTATATTTGAGATCTTAGAACTTATATCTCAAGGTGGGTGGCGTATTTACGTTGTAGATGTCTATGGGCTCCAGTAACCACTTAACACCAGGTAGGCTGTGAGTTTGTCTACCCATCTAGGCAATAAAAAAACGGGCCCAGCCGTAAGGGGTGAGATTTGCTGCCCGAATTAGACCCTTGTGACTACTACCGGTTCGGAATCGCGATCTTCCGAGAAGATCCGGCGGGAAACTCAACAGGCTGAGCTACAAATATTAAGCTGAGCCATCCCTTCTCTCCTATCTTTTTATTTGAAGCCAACCGTCGGCACAAGAGACAGTAAGCAGTGCTTCTGTAAAATATGACTGCTGCAATCTACTTAGAGAGGCATGGGCGAAGTCCTTATTATATTGTATACCAGATATTAGCTAATATAACAGTTACTCTACTCGGATTAAATAAGGTGGATAGCAGCTTAGAGCCAGAAAATGCACGGTGTTGCTATCCACCACTACGCGATGCGATACGTCCTATTCTTTTTTTTTCCTACCTATGCTGATAGCCTTGAGAATATTCATAAGTTTCCACAGTTCTGTTTTATTTGAGCATACGATATCTATTGTTAGTGTTCCAATTTCTTTCTGCCACAATTAATACTGCTTTTACGGAATTACCGCGTTTTTGTTTTGTAGTTCGTAATTTCTGGTGTTACGCAAAGGACTTTGGTCGCCCGGTAGTCGAAATTCGACTATAATTAATTGAAATTATAAGTTTGTACACTATTATGATTCTATTTTCAATGACTATTATACTTCTATAATCACAAATTTCGCCAAGACTACACTATAGAAAAATATTAATAAAGACAAACAATATTTAATTTTAATCTATTCTCAATTTGACCACAGACGTCAAGAACAAAAGTTTGACAATAAATAAATAGTATGCATGCGTGTGTGCATCAAATACATGGTAGTGTGTGTAATGTTTTCTTTATTGATTTATTGTATCTTTTATGCATTATTTAAAAAAAATATTAGCATTGTGCACTTCTTCTCTATATATTCTCTATAAGTGTGGGAAATTTCATACTCTTCCGTCCGCGCAATTTTCGTAAAAAGGGATACAAAGTTTTTGCTTCACGTATTAATATAAAGATATCTAAGGCTAAACTCGCATACCTACAAGCTCCGAGTGATGACACTTGTTTTGTTGTGTAGATTTCGTCATTTAGATATATTATGTCCCCTATATAGGTCAAAGTAAATCGAGATAAAAAGAAGTTACAAATCTGTAGTGGCTGTCATCATTCTTATAATTTTTTGTGAGATTTTTGTGCGTATATTTAATTATTTTAATCTGAGAAAACCGATGTTTTTATTTAAACAAAAGTGGGCGTATTATATGTAGAGAAAGTTATTTCGGTAGTGACATTTTGCTTTACCACAGTCTATAGACACCAAATTGTAAGACGTCACCCCCAAATTTGATATAATTATATGATGTGGAAGTTTCAATTTTGTGGTATGCATAGCAGCTGTCCATTACTCAAAGAGGAACACATGACCACTTTGGGGTAGGACAATGTGAGGTGATGGTACCTATCCGTGTGCGTCCGTCCCATTGTGCGCGCCATCACTAGCAATTGCTTATGCAAATTTACACGTTTTGCGGATTTTCTATAATATTTTGTAAACAACTACAACTACAGTCAGTGAGGTATTTTTTTTAATTTTTTTTTTCCTACCTAAACTGATGGTCTTGAGAGATCATATCAGCGTCACCGGGCGAGTAGGTGAGTCCACGGGGCTCAAAAGCGTCGTCGTGTAAGCGTAAAAAAGTCGTCGTGGCCTAACGGATAAGACGTCCGGTGCATTCGTGTTGAAGCGATGCACCGATGTTCGAATCCCGCAGGCGGGTACCAATTTTTCTAATGAAATACGTACTCAACAAATGTTCACGATTGACTTCCACGGTGAAGGAATAACATCGTGTAATAAAGATCAAACCCGCAAAAATTATAATGTGCGTAATTACTGGTGGTAGGACCTCTTGTGAGTCCGCACGGGTAGGTACCACCGCCCTGCCTATTTCTGCCGTGAAGCAGTAATGCGTTTCGGTTTGAAGGGTGGGGCAGCCGTTGTGACTATACTGAGACCTTAGAACTATATCTCAAGGTGTGTGGCGCATTTACGTTGTAGATGTCTATGGGCTCCAGTAACCACTTNTTGCTAGGGTCAGTGTTAGCAACTCTCCGGTTGAGCCCCGCGAGCTCACCTACAAACGTTAGGGTGAAGCTGAAATAGCCTCTCAAGGCTATCAGCATAGGTAGGAAAAAAAAAAAAAAAAAGAAAAATGTGCTTTTATCACTTAACGTTTTATCGCTGTAACAAAAAAGGTTTGATTTCGTTACCGGATTTTCCGTATGACGTCTTCAGCAAAATTTTTCAATCGATTTTAATGTACATACCTACATATGTGTCATGTTTTCGTTGGTTCCGATCGTGGTAGCGTCGTCTTTATGACGTCAATGAATCTTTAATTCTTAATACAAAATTTATTGAAATTTAAAACATTGAGATTCTGTCAGAAATTGATATAGATGTCTATATCTATTGTGAAAACTAGTTTTATTAATGTCGAGAAGTTTGAAGATAGTCTTTTCTTTTTAAACTAATGTTCACCAATTGATTAGTCAGTGACATCTTAAGATTTTGATTAATTTTATTTATTATTTAGATCTTCTTTTTTGTTTTGTTATTGAAATTTCGAAGCCTAGACGATACGTTTGACTCCACACCATCCAATGATACATTCCCATCCTATATCAATTGAAAGACTAGATCGAGAAGTTTGTTGTTAAATTTAGGCATACTCCTTCCACTTTTGATGTCTCTCTTCTCTCTGTGTTCCGAGCGTGCCTTTGCAACTGCTGTAGAAAAGTTTGCTTAAATGATCGTCGACGTTGATTCTAACGTTAAGTACCTACTTCCTACTACTACTTCAGCTTGAAGGGAATTGTGCAGGATCTTTTAGAACACGACTAGTGAAAAAAAAAAAGAAAATAAAAAAAACTCACAGGCGG